ATATCAGAGAAAGGTTTCAAGAAGGTCTCTTAAAACCATATCATGTTCATACTGGATCTCAGATTGCAGATGTGCTGAAAAAAGCTTTAGGGATCAAGCATCATCAACAATTTGTTTCCAAGTTAGGCCTTGTCAAGTTGTCAACCAAGTCTAACTTGAGGAGGGGATGTGAAGTATATCATCCGTATTACTTAGCATACATATAATAGCTTGCCAACGTGTAAAAGGCTTCTAGTAGGTTCCTTTATTTTCTGTTAGAAGTTAGTTACACTTGTAATAGTATAAAGGATATCTCCGCTTTACTGAACGATTGATCCCTTCTGTAACAAATATCTTCTGCGGAGATTTCCGTTCTTCCTCTTCCTTGATATCAATATTTGATAAGTCCGTATTTTGACACGCATTTGATGTGTGTTGAGATCGGATTTTGATAGTTTCCCCAGCTTTAAAGTGTTGCAAGTCTCAATTTTAGCTCAAGTTATGTTTACCGGGCGTTGGTTCGAGTTTTGTGTTGTTTGTAGTCAAAATCAGGGAATTTGAGCCTGGTACCGGCACTTGAGGAACAATCGGGATGACTTGAGAAGCATTTGAGAATGATTTGATAGCTTTGGAGGTCACCGGAAGATTCACGATGAAGATTTGAAGGAAAAAGAGCTCTAGGATTGGCTTCGGGATCAAAAGAAGATGAATGAAGCTTGAAAACGACGATCAGGATGACCTTCTGTCAATCGTTCAAGCATATCTCTTTGTAGAAACATCCAATGTACACGATTAAAGTTCCATATGAAAGCTAACTTCAAGGGCTACAAATCATATGAAGACATCTTTGATAGAATCTGAGAGGAAGAAGGTGAAAACAGACGATGAAGTCAGATGATCTCTGCTGCGATTTCAGAAAGACACCTTCCACCGTTTTGATCATATCTCTTGATTGGATGATTCAAATCACATTCGGCAAATTGGGGTGGATAGAGGACTTCATTATCTACAACTTTCATGAAGGAAGTTTTGTCAAATTCGGAAGTTAAGTAGGCACGAACGTGCCCTCAAAGTCAGGCACGATCGTGCCTGAAGAGAAAAGCACCGCGGAGCTACTGCCAGCCAGGGACGATCGTGCCTGGAGGGAGGCACGATCGTGCCTGCCCAAAATGCGCGTTTTTGCTCCGGAGGCACGATCGAAGGCACGATCGTGGCTGGCATCGTGCCTGGCTCCGAAAATCCTAATTCAACTCAAATTTCACCCGATTTTTCTATTTAAACAGCCTGTAAACCCCCGTTTTCAAGGGGGGAGCTTAGAGAGAGTGCCTAGCACGAATTTTAGAGGGCTTTTCAGCCTTGTTCATCAATCTTTTGGGATTCTTTGTAAGTTCCACCTTTTTAATTAATGACAATTAATTCTTTTTATTCCAATTCTATTGATTCTTCAATTATGAATTGTGAGTAGTTTTAATTAGGGATTTGAGATTGATGAAGGGGTTAATCATGATGTATGGCTAGATTATTGTCGGTTTAATTGCATGAATGCCGTTTAATTTGTGTTTGAATAATTTAATTGATATCTTTTGTAACCTAGAATCGCGACTAGAATTACAATTGCATGTAGAATAAATTAAGAGGGATCTAATTTGTTCTAGGACACATTCACACACACTTAATCGTTTGCTAAGAGATTAGTAGCGATTAAGAGGCCGTAAGCTCGCTCGTCTTGGCAATAATTTAGGATCCTGTCGCATGAGAGATCAGCCTGGTCCCCTAAAGTATTGTACTCTACGCCGCGAGAGCGGTAAGAACTTAGTAATGATTAGCTAGACTCAATTAAATTAATTTCATGTAATTAGGCCTGATCTGCCAGAAATTTGGTTACCCCGGAATCGATCCCTGTTCCCTTCGTCATTAATTAGAAAGAACCCCCTAGTTTAATTGTTCGCATTAGTTTTATTTTTCCAGCAACCAATCTCGCACGACGCATTTTTATTTATTTCTTTTTAATCGCTGAATTTAATTAATTCTTGATTCCCTTTTGTCCGTCGCAGTGGAGACGATACTCGTACTTACACCACTATATTACGATCTATTTTAAGTGCGAGAAAACACTCATCAGTTTTTGGCGCCGTTGCCGGGGACGGTGTCGGTTTTAAGGGTTAATTAATTTCAGCGAGATTTTTTTTTAGTTAGTTTTCTTTTTGTTCTTCGTAGGATTTTCTGTGCTAACCTTTCAGGGTTTTTTCAAAGAGGCATGAGATGAACCCATTCAGCCAAATTCCTGGAGGAAGTCCTTTTCCCCAAACCTCCATGGAATTTTCACCATATACGCTATACCCTCCTTACACTCCTCCTCCTCCTCAATATTACACACCTCATCAAAATTACTCTCCTACGCCACAAAATATTCAGCCTTCTTATCCGTACACTCCAACCACTCAACCCTATCATTCTGATTCTTACTATCCTTCATCACAATACCCTTGGGTAAGCGTAAGACGAGGCTCCATTCTTGAATTTATGCTTCTAAATAAAACGCCTGAGGAAATATCTGAATGTTTTAAGGGTAGCATTTGTTCCTTCTGTGGAGGAGGTCACCATTTATGTCTTTGCCCCATCAAACCTCTATATGACCATCCTTTCCGGGAAACTGCTTACCCCACTTCTTCCTCCCCACAATTTACGAACACAAATGTTTCAGTCACTCCTATGTCTTTGCCGAGCTATGAACCACAGGATGAATGGGAAGAGATAATTTCAGAGAAGCTGTCTGACCTGGAAGAAACACTCAAGCAATTCATGCAAACAACTGAGACAAATTAACAATTAACACAGTCAAGACTTCAGAACATCCAGAATCACTTGGATCAACTGTTTAACGCCATATCTGAGGAGTCCGAGAGATCCTATCCTAGCGACACAGAAGCCCAACCTGAGGAGACCAATATGGATGATCACGTGAGCGAGTCAGACTATGATGATGGGAATATGATGGATGATACACTTCCTGATGTTTTTGAAGACCCTGATGAGAACAGTGTTAACGAGAGTTGGGATGCCTTCATGGGGAGTGATACAGAGTCTGGAGGAGAGGTTGTGAATGTTCATGATATTTGTAAGGAAGAAGAAGACTTTTCTATGGTGCAGTTTAATTACGGTGTTGCCCCTACTCTTTGCTTTGAGACATGTTTTGAGCTTCCAGTGACACCTAGGTAGTGTTTGCAATTGCTTCAACTTTAAAAAAGTGATTTTTTAAAGTGATTTTGGAAAAAGTGATTAATAGTAAAAGTTGGTAGTGTTTGAGAAAAAAGTGATTCTAAAAAAGTAAAAGTTGGTAGTGTTTGGTAAAATAAGTGCTTTTTGTGTAATAGAAAAAGTGAAAAGCAGTTTAAAGCACCCTTCTACCTGCTTCCAGCTTTTAACTTTTAAGTGATTAATTTAAGCAGAAGCTGTCATTTGAAAACACTTTTTTCAACTTTTTTTAAGTCAAAAGCTGAAAAGCGCTTTTTTTAAACAAACCCAAACACTTCTCTAGAGTAATCAAAGTTTTCACTCATGTTCCCTATCCACCTGAAGAGGATGACAGTTTCATACTTCACTTCTGCGCTGATGAGGGTTATGAAGACCATATGCTGCCTACGTGGACTGAAGAATTTAAAGATCCGCGACACCTAATGGCATTTGTTGAGAAGAAGCTGGAAACATTGATTATTAGTGCACCACTGCTGTCTTTGCTATTTGAGAGCATATGAGGAAGTTGCGTCGGGCAAACGACGTTAAAAATAGTGCTACTTGGGAGGCAACCCAAGCTTATTTCTGCACTTTTGTTTTTGTTTGTTTGTTTGCTTTCAGAACCCCCCCCCCCCCAAAAAAAAACCCGAAAAAAAAAATCCGGGGTGTTTTTTTTTTTTGGTTTGTTTTTGTGTTTGTGTGTTTTGTTTTTGCAGCTCAGGGTCTTGCTTTAGGGATGATGTGCCGAGGATCACTTGACTCAGTTTAGTTCTGCACCGACCAGCGCCTTAGGGAAGTTTCTGCGACTCTTTTAATCGCCTTTTTGTAATAATTGACTTGAGTTAAGTTGAGCACGCGTGACCCTATCCTCTTTACCCCCTTGTGCATAGTGCGTTTTTGGTCATCGGGGACGATGCCAAAGTTTAAGTGTGGGGGAGTGAATTGGACATTCGGGCAGTAGTTGCTACATGTGATTTTTAGAGTTAGAATGCGCAAGTGTTAGTTGATATTCATAGGAAATTCATGCAAAATTTTTGAAAATTTTTCTTTAAAATGTGTCTTTGTGAGCTGGCTAGCGTTTTGACTATGCTTTTAGAACATCTTTGAAGTGTTTAGGCTTAAATTGCTAGCACTATAATCTAGTTGTTGAGAGAAGGAAGGCATTAGTCACCCATGAATTTTCCATTAATCATCCACCCCACCTGAAAAAGTCCTGTAGGAGAAGCCATTTTGAGCCTGACCGTTCTTTGTTTGGTGGTTTCTCCACCGGGTAAAAAAAGTAGGTTAAGGGGATGAATTTGGGAATTGATCCCTCACATACCCTTACTATAGGTGCCTAAGGAATAGAAAGGTAATGTTGCAAAGAAATAAATTTAAGAAAAAACAAATTAAGAGCCCTCTGATAAGAATGTAGTTGATTGAATCGGTTGGTTTCGCTGAAATTTATGAAGTTTTGATTGAAGTGATAAGATTGGATGATTTTACCAAATCATGAAAAAATATGTTCTAAATATACTAAATTAATAAAGTAAATCAAAAGTTATATGAAAAATAGCTAAAATAGTCTTCTATAGTAACTTCAGTGATCAATCCAAGTAAACAAGTAATTTCAAACTTAATTTATCTATGATTATACAAGTCAACATGTGAAATCAAAAGTCGCGTAAGCGGGCTTTGCGATAATATTTTTTGCTTACTTTGGTAGCGTAAGATGTGACACGTACAAGTAAAGGGAGAGGGAGCTTGCAGGTAGGTACAGGAATTGAGGTAGGTTATGGTGGTTAATTAAGATGTAATTAGTTGATTGTTAAGAGGGATTATATTAGTGAAGAAGAGAAAGCAGATGGAGCTTTAATTAATTTATGTCGAGGAGAGGGGGATGCAGCTAGCTTTATTATTGTTTTGCTTTATGGATGGGATGTGTTGTAGCGCAGTGCAGGTATTGAGGTTAGTTGTACGTACAAGCAAGTAGTGGGCTTGCTTGCTTGCTTTGGTGGTCAGTTAAAGTAAGGAGCAAATCCCGGGCCTTAAAGCAAGCCAGCCCGGCCCCTGGATCATTTCTATCTATATACCGATACATCTCTTTAATTTCTTCTTGCTTATATATATTATTAGCTTCTTAATCTTAATTATATATGGATCGATCGATCCTTGCCGCGCGCCTATCGATCATAGCAAGCAAGATTAGCTAGCTCTATCTACCAGCTGCTACTCATCCGATCCATATATATATATCCGTCCAAGCAAATTCAAATCATGGATGATAGCTAGCTGCGCGCGGCGTAACTTCATTATATATATAGCTAGCAGCAGCAGCAGCTAGATTGCTGCTGGCCTCCATCGATCTATCATACACATACATATATATATATATACTAGCTCCCAATTCCGTATGTATGCATACATAATTTAATTAAGATCCTATCTATCTATATATCGGCCTGGGCGCTAGGTGTAAGTGGCCGGGTGTGGATGATGTATGAGAAATTGATCAAGATTAATTATATATACATACATACTCCCATCCAAATTATATATAAATTACATCGATCATAGATATATACAGCAAGCAAGCAATTGAGTAGATGATGAAGAAGAACAGCAGCAGCGGCGGCCATCATGCTACGATGATGATGAGCAGCAGCAGCGGCAGTTCAGATCTGCAGATAGCAGATGCAGCAGCCAATAAGCCCTATCAACACTGTCCTGGCTGTGGTCACACCCTCCAACCCAACCCGGTCCGTTACTCCATCATCACTTCAATTATACCTAAGTCATTAATTAACAGCTATGCTATGCGGCGTGTAAATAATTTGATTTTCTTCCTTGTTAATTAGCTTCTTCTTTCATTTAATTTGTTTACCATTCGATCGATCTTAATATGATCGAGTTTGTGTACGTACGTCTTAATTGGCCGATGATTTTGATTTTATTATTATGATAATATGGGATGAAGGATTGGGTGGGTCTGCCGGCCGGAGTGAAGTTTGACCCAACAGACCAAGAATTGATACAACACCTCGAAGCAAAAGTGGCGGTGCAGGTTGATAAAGAATCCAAATCCGGCGGCGGCCACCCTTTGATCGATGAGTTCATCCCTACCATTGAAGGGGAAGATGGCATCTGTTATACCCATCCAGAAAAACTTCCTGGTACGTACGTACGTACGTATATGCCGCATTCCAATTAACTTCATTTAATTTGTACGCACGCACGCACGTCCGTACGTAACTACACCTAATTAACACTTACTTCCGTAGTGGAGTATATAATAAGCTAGCGCAGCTAGTAAACCTGCTGCTGCGCGCTGCTGCGAATTAATTATATTATTATAATATAATAATGAATTTGGTATACATGTACTGTATAGGTGTGAGACGAGATGGGTTGAGTCGGCATTTTTTCCACAGGCCGTCGAAAGCGTACACAACGGGGACGAGAAAGAGGCGGAAGATTCAGACGGAGTGCGAGGTGGCGGGGGAGACCCGGTGGCACAAGACCGGGAAGACCCGCCCGGTGATGGCCCACGGCAAGCAGAGAGGGTGCAAGAAGATACTCGTGCTCTACACCAACTTCGGGAAGAACCGCAAACCCGAAAAGACCAACTGGGTCATGCACCAGTACCATTTGGGTCAGCACGAAGAGGAGAAGGAAGGCGAGCTCGTCGTCTCCAAAATCTTCTACCAGACGCAGCCCAGGCAATGCACCACCGCCCCCGATCGCCGTGACAGCGCCGCCAGCTCTTCTTCATCTTATAAGGACGTCGCCGTCGCCAACGCCCAATCCCACTCTCATCCAGACAATCAACTCATCTCGGTTGCACTTGCTTTGGAAACTCAACCCACCGACCACCATTATACCGCCTCCTTCCACCCTTTCACAAAACACGACCACGACTTTCATCACGTAAGTACCCTTAGCTTATTCATTATTAACATACTTTTATTTTACCAATAATTAAAACGTACGTACGTACTCTCCATATTTTAAAGGTCGATCGACGTTTCCCTGATTTGAAGCAAGCTCTAGCTAGCTTTTTAATTGTCTACAAAGCTAGACTTCATTATTTGGTCAATTAATTTGATAGATTTCAATCTCCCCCGGTCAACTTCTTGCTTTAATTGCAGTTTAACAAACAAATCATCCACTACGTACTTAATTCTAGGTGGTACCATACCTTTGTCCACATAGACCAATGAGAATGTAACAGTTGAATTATTTAAATCTAAATTAAAAATCACAAAGTGATGTTGTCCAATCAAATGAATGGTAGGTACGGTACCCCATTTTTTAGAAGGATACCAGAGTTGTCACCTTAATTTAATTACTATACTCCGTATAAGTTTGTAGACATATGGACGGTACTTAATTAGTTGTTGCTAATTTAAGGATAAATACAAAGTGTGCGTAGGTTAATCCACACAGTTTAATTTCATTTCATTCTACCTCTATGCTACAACCATATAGTAAGGTGAACTAAAGTAAAGTAAAGCAAAGTAGTCTTCAATTTGCGGCTATCTGTAAAGATCGAGTTCCATCCTACAACGTAATAAGAAGAATAAACATCATTTTCATATTATATCAATGTGACTTAATTTTGCCAACTAATTTAAATTTTTGGTAGTAATTTAAGAAAGGGAAAATGGTCAATTAGGTCATTCTACTATTTCCCATTTAAGTCCCTATACTAAAAAAGTATCATAAGAGTAAGCTTACTTTAAATAAATAATCAATGTGGCCATTTAATCTGTTTTTGATATGTAATACGTAATAACATACTACGTATATCTTATACTCCCTCCGTCCCAGGGAGAAGTTCCCGGGTTGACTTTCACACATATTAAGGAAATAAAGTTACTGAGGGGTAAATTTTACTGTTTGGCACTGCTTCGACACTGTTTGGCACTGCTTCGACATTGTTTGGCACTGTTTTGCACTGTTTGACACTGTTTTGATGTAGGATAATTTTCCATTTAGGGAAATGAGAACTTTTTGTTGGGACTGCCAAAAAAGGAAAGTGAGAACTTGACCCTGGGATGGAGGTAATATTAAAAAACTTAAAAAGTTGTTTAAATTTGAAGAAATATAGATAAAAATTGTGAAAATTTTTAAAATGTTAAAAAAGTCAACATTTTAGCATTTTCGAATTTTTTTTTGTCTATTCTACAACTATTTAACAGATCTTTACATTTTTTTAATTATTTTAATTTCATTGAATTATTTATCTATTTTTACATTTATACAAGGTTTTATATATTATTAGATTTTTTTAAATTATACGGAGTATGAGTTTATATAAGATTTGTGAATACGCCCAATTTATTTTAAAAAATAACGGGTCAAAATGATTGATTGACTGTATTTTGAAAGTAAACATATGAGTTAATTATCACCAGCACCACCACCTCCAGTCATTTGGGGAAAAATGCCAAATTTATTATGAATTCCATATTTTTGGCATAATTCAGAATGATTTAAGATGACAGAATAAAAATGTTGGCATTGTCAAAGAGAAATATGCCATGTTTTTGGCATTTTTCGAAAAAAATGGAAGTTTGTAGGAAATATGACATTTTTTTAACGGTCGGAGGTGGTGGTGCAGGGAGGCGGTACCACCACCTCTTGTCACCGGGGTAAAAAAATGCCAAAAAATTTATGAATGCCATATTTTTGGCAAAAGTCAAAAGGATTCAAGTTGGCATTCTCATAGAGAAATATGCCATTTTTGTGGAATTTAAAAAAAAGTGGCATTTTTTACACCGATCGGAGGTGGTGGTTCAGGGAGGTAGTACAAGCGGTGGGAAAGGTATCCATATTTTTTTTTTAATTTTTTATGTAGTTTTACTATTTTTAATTAATTTTCAAAAAAAAAATTAAAACAATTTTTTTTTCTTGTTTTTTATTTTTATAAAAATTTTATTAATTTTTTTATTATTTTTCTACGAATTATTGAAATTTTTTCGGATTTATTATGAATTAAATATTTAATTATGACTTTTAGCTATCTTCTACTAATATTTAAAGGAGGGGTAAGAATGGAAGGAAGAACGGAAATTGTCCTAAATAGGACTAATGAGTTTCTAAAAAGCATAAATAGAACTACTACTTTTAAAATTTCCTAAATAGGACTAAACATTGATTTTCTACCCTAAATACCCCTTAGAGTATTAATTCATAATGAAATTCTTTAATTCATAATAAAAATCATAAAAAACGTAAAAAATATTTTAAAAACGTAAAATAAATTATAAAAAATTTATAAAACATTTATAAAATAAAAAAATTAATTTTTTATTTTTTTATTTTTTTTAAAAAAATAATAAAAAATAGTAAAAACCCATAAAAATGAAAAAAATTATGGATACCTTTCCCACCGCCTCCCGCCGCCTCCCAGCACCACCACCTCTCATTGGTGAAATTTCTTCCACTTTTGGTAAAAAAATACCATATTTTTCTGAAAATGCCAAAAAGATGGCATAATTACTCTACAATATGCCAACATTTTCATTGAATATGCCATCATTATGACATTATTTAAAATGTTGGCATATTTTTCTCCGGTGATGGGAGCTGGTGGTGCTGGGGGTGACAGGGGTGGTAATGTTTTTTTTTAATTTTATGATTTTTTTTTAAAAAATATTTTTTTAAAAAAAATATTTTTATTAATTTTCTATAATTTTTTTTGCGATTTTTAGTATTATTTCGATTTTTATTAATTTTTTTTATGATTTTATTAGTAATTAAAACATTTTACAAGTTACAAGGGTATATTTGTCCAAACACACATAAATAGTCCTATTAAGGGAATTTAAAAAAATGTAGTCCTATTTGTGAAATTTTGCCACTTTTTAGTCCTATTTAGGGAATTGACTCAAGGAAGAAATGGGTATGTTTCCAATAGGACCACTATGGTTCTATTTTGAAATAAAAATATAGCAAGTCCTATTTTGAGTTTTTGCCATAGTTTTAGTCCTATTTGAAGTAACTTTTATAAACATATTTATGTGATGGTTTTTTAGTAGTAGCACTTAAGTAATTAATAGATCAGAAATAATTAATGAGTCTATTTTCCCTTTCTCTCTAAAAAATAGGTTTTGTGTAAAATTAAAGTGCTAACATTATGCTAGGTAGCTCGACATGGCAGCACGGCTTCATAACATATCGATGTCTTTGAAATTCGATCATATATCTTTAATTAATTAATATGTTTCCCGTCGTTCTTCCATTACTATATGGATTTAAAAAAGAAAACATACTTAATTAATTGATATGTTTGTGATGGAAAAACAATTGAAGTGGAAATGAAAATCGTCATGGATCCGCAAATTAAAATAAGATGGAAATATAATTGAATTAATCTTAAGAATGATGTTGATATTTAGTTAGTCAATCTTGATTTTTTCAGCGAATGATCTCTAAATTGACTGTTTATATATTTATATACAGAATGATTATTAATATGAAAATGAAATGAAAAATATTATTTGTCAAAAGTATTATCATAAAAATTTAAAATTATTAAATTTTAGTTAAAATAATTGGTCAAAGTAATTTTACCAAAATGAGAATTGAGTTTGGGGCATTCATGCATGCAGGCGGGCGGGGGGCTTCCAGTGGCAGCCGAAGCTGTAGGTAGTAGAATGATGGTAATGGAAATTCCGGGGACAAGGCCGCCGCATCAGCAGCTTCAGTGCGAAGGCGGCGGCGGGCATGATCAAAATACAAGCGCTGCCTCTGCGGCGGCGTTGCACAACATAAGCAGCAGCAGCAGCAGGCCACACCCCATCATCTCTCCGCCGCCCCTCCTCTACCACCATGACCCGCCCTACCACGTCCCAACTCCAAGGATCATACTCTCCAATCACAACAACTTCCAGGTATTCATCAATTATATATATTATTTTAGTCATACATGGGATAATTATGACTACTTGGTATTATTGAATTCATCCAAACATACATAATCTACATTCCAGCACAGCGAAATCGCGCCAGCGCATCAATTAATTAATGAAACAATAAAAGCAATCAAGGCTAGTATATATATACACCCTATAATATTAATATATAGTACTCCCTCCGTATATAATTACGTACGTGCAAATTAATAAAAGAAGATACAAAATACGGCGGCCGGGTTACGACGTTAAATTAATTTTTTTGCGAATTAAATTTGCAATATCATATAGCAATGTACGTAACATAATGCATGCCAGCCAAGTAGCTAGGAAACAAGGCAAGTAATAATAATGTGTGTTCTCAGCTCACACAACAGTGCATGATCATGTGCATGATGATGTTTGGGATGCTGTTTTTTCAGCAGCAGCAGCATGATCATCATAATAAGCTTGGAAGTAGAAGGTCTGCTTCTGAATTGGAAGAACTCATTATGGGGTGCACTTCTTCTACTACTCATCATATCAAAGAGGTAGGTATTTATTTAATTAACTTTGTCTATATATAAATCTACTTTTTCTTACTACCTTCTTCAATTTTCAACATTATTATGTTATGGGACAATTACCTAATTAATATCGGTAAGTAAAAGCAAAATTGAGCACAAAGTTTAAATTCACAAAATAAGACCAACTCCATTCTACCCTTTCCTTGTCATGTTTAATAGGACTTTTTTAAATAATAATTATAAAATTTAAAAAATGTAAAAATAAATAAATAAAATATACATGCCTCAACCACCACCTCAATAATTCAAAAAATGAATTATTGAATTATAATTCAATAATTTAATCCAAAATGACTCTATAATTCAATCTGAGATCTTCACCTAGTTACCGAGCTTGCTTTTAGCTAATTAATAATAAAATTATGCACTCAAAATTTATTTCAAATTTAAAAGCCAATTCAATGCATTTCATTCCGACTATATTCTTTTTATACAGCTAGAAAAGAAAAGATAAGGTGAGCAGTCCAAAAAAGAAAGAAGAGAAAGCATTCAGAAACACATGAATGAAGTAACATATTAAAGTTAAAAAACAATTAGGTAGCTAGGACGACAAAAGACGAGGAGATATCATATATGCTTGTTACTTTACACGCCCGTATATATGATTTAAATTTAATCAAGCAATATATATATATATATGGTCTAAAGGCGTAGGAGATAGAAGTATATGGAGGGTGGGGGCTTAGAAACCTTTTCCTTTTCTGCTTTATCTCTTTATTCCTTCTTATTAAATGCTCTTGCCTTCTAATAATTATATACCACTCCATTGTCACGTTAATAACTCCACCGCTTTCCCTTATATTCCGCGACTCCAAACCTAGCTTTACCGGCGTATTACCTACTTTAGCCAGTGTCTCTTTGTAACCGTTTCTGTTTTTTAAAAAATGTTTTTTTAATGAAATGAGGAGAAGTGATTAAATAAAAGTTGATAGTGTTTGAGAAAAAAATAATTTTGAAAAGTAAAAGGTGGTAGTGTTTGGTAAAATACGTGTTTTTTGTGTAATAGAAAAAGTAAAAGTACTTTTGACACGAAAGCCGAGAAAAATAAAAGTTAGTAGTGTTTGGTAAAATAAGTGTTTTTTAAGCCAAAAGCTGAGAAGTGCTTTTTTATAGCATTTGCAAAAATAGAAAATTATGCACTATTCCACCTTATTTAGAGCCCGTTTGGAGACCCCTTTTTTCGGCTTATCAGGCTTATCAGCCAGCTTTTTCACCAAACACGTAATTTTTACTTTCGCGTGCTGAATTGGGTAATAAGCAGAAAAAGTAAGGTTGAAGTTACTTTTCTGGCTGTATTGGCTGAAGTTACTGTAGATGACCATTTTAGCTATTTTTACATGTAATTTTTTCTTTATTTTATTAATAAAATATATTTTTAAAATATTTTTTTCTAGAATCAGCAGAATCAGCCAAAACAGCCACTTCAGCAAGAACTTCATAAATTTCAGCAGAAACAGCCAAAACAGCCGATTTTTGTGCTACCAAACGGGCTCTTAATTAATTTCCTGCCCTTCCTTTTTAAATTAGAAAATACAAAATACTTCATCCGTATCATATTAGTTGAATCATTAGAATTTACACATTATTTTGTTTTGAAAAATATTGTTGAATTCATCTCATTACAAAGTTTATAATTTGATTTTTAAATGTTTTTACGAATAGAGAATTATTAAATATAATGAGGATCAAAGTTGTGCATTGGCGAACGTGAAAAAGGAAATGGTGCAATTAAAAGATAACGGGTGATACTATGTAACTAAAACAAAAACAATTCATATAATCATATCATAAGTAGTAGTAATTCCTTAATGCACTATTTAGGTTAATGGCAAGCTTTTACAAAGATAATTACACAGCATGTGTATATGAAATGCCAAAATTGATGAAACATGAATGATGTGAAAGTGACAAATTATGTTTTTGTTTTGAAAATACTAATAAGGGAAAAATAATACTTGATTAATTAAGGGCAATCATTCTCCGATCCAAGAGATGTACAATACTATCCGGAGTTTCAAAACCATCACATGCATATACTCCTCTCTAGCTAGCTAGTTCATTCAGACATTGCGCCAAACTTTAGCATTTCTGGCCTTCCATAAACTCTAAAAGAACATATATAATAAACTCTTTTAATTTGGGGAACACGTACTAGCTACTAGCTAGCTAGCATGACTTGCGTAGCTCCCAATGCAAGAGTTTCAAAACCATGCATCACATATAAACTTTGTATTTTATTTGCCACTGCCATATATACCTCCTTTGAAGAACATGCATGCTTAACTGTATGTGTCTTGTGCTTGGTCGCACATTGGACAACTTGGCCCTAGCTACATGCAGGAACCCGTTGGTAAGGCACGTCCGTACAAAAGACGCGCGCGCGCTCTTTAGTTGGTAAGGCACCAAAATTAAATTAACATGCCTGTCGGGAAATAATTATCTCCTTGAGCGGTCGAGCAAACTTCCGCATTTGACTCTCTCCACGTCAAATTTCAATAACAACTTCGAACTGAGTAAATCCTTTTAAACAAATCCTTTACAATTTCCTTGTCCCATCCTTCTAGCTTCTCGTCATGCATAAGGGAGTTAATTAACTATTACGTCCTCTAACTCTACCTGGGTTGGAGAGGCGTCAGGTGCGCGCCCCCTCGAGATCTTGATAACCATTTATCCTTTCAGATACTATCTCCCACCCACAGCTGTAACCATTTATCAATACTCTTCCAAATTAAAGATGGATTGGAGCCTCCACAATCCCCCCACGAGGATAATAATAATGGGCTTTAATTAAGCACTTTACTAACCAGTGGCTGTGGATGCTTTAAAAATCTCCAAACCTGCTTCCCAAGCATTACAATATTAAACTCAGGAAGCTTTCCGTACCCTACTCCCACCATACCATTTAGCAGGGTCGACCCTAGAAATGTCTAAGATGTCCGACCGCACAGGGCCCCAAAATCTTGTAGGCCCATTTTTCATAATTCCTTTATATACCCTTGTAGTATTTTATCATTCCAAATTGGATATACATATCCTAAATATTACTCCCGTCCCGCTAAGATTGTCCCATTTTACCTTTTCGGGAAGTTCCACTAAGATTGTCTCTTACTTTATTCTTACTTTATCAATTTAATATCAACCACACCAATCCACTTTTCTAAATAATCGTGTCACCTTCTCTCGTCCAATCTTACTGGGATGGAGGTAGTACTTTATATATCTTTATAAGTGGTCGTATATATTTGGTTGAGTAATTATTTTATTACAACAAACTGCTAAATAATTACTACATAATGGTTTAGTATAATGGTTTATATTAGGGGTGGGCACGGTCCGGGTTGGTCCGAGTAATTGATATACTTCCAAGAACCGCCGGTTCCATTTAACGGGTAGGTTCAGTCCGGGTATACCAAGTTTCGAAATAGGAACCAAACCTTACCCGCCCCATTTGAAACGGGCCGGTTCGGTCTGAGTCCTCGATTCTTTTTTATAATTTATGCGGCTATGCAAACATAGTTTCTAGTAATTTATAAATTCTCAAATTAATTATGTATTAATGTAACCATAATATAGTAAAAAATCAAAATAATTAGTTATCAGAATACCAAACAACAAATCTATAAACTAATTAAACAACATGTTAATTAGACAAATCTATTAAACAACACACAACCACCTTAATTAACATGTTAATTGTCATTCATAAACTAATTAAAAAGATAGCACCATAAATTAAACTATACATATTTGTCTATGAAAACAATTTAAAGTTGATTAAATCTCCAAGTATAAGTAAAATTAAGATAATTAAATGAATATGTCATACTTCATTGAACATAGTCTTTGTATACACAAAAAAAATTAAAGAAAGAAAGTTTGATGCATTTGGAATAGAGAATTGAGGAAAATAATTTAGGAGTTTAATTATACGGACTTGGAAACTATTTTTAATAGACTGAGAAGTTTTCTTAATTAGAAGTCTTTGTCTTGACACAAGAACATGAAGAGATTTTGCGTATTGTTAGTATATTATATTATACTAGTATTAAATATAATAGAGATTATTAAAATAATATTTTAAAACGGTTCGGTCCGGGTACCCGTTTTTTCAAATTTTAAGACCCGTTCGGTTCGTAAGTTTTCAGGACCCGCCCGAACCGTTTGGGTTTTCTAAAATGAGGACCCGACCCTAACCCACCCCGAACCTGTATTACCCGTCCCGACCCACAGTTCCAGTACCCATCACTACAAAAAAAACGTCTGTTTTGCGACAAATCTACCAACGGAATAACATAAAATATCCGTTACTAATATAATTAGCGACGGGGAACTGACGGGAAATTATCCGTCGAAATAGGGTGGTTGGAAAACCTGCTACGGATATTAGCGACGGATAATTTAAAATAGCGACGGCATGCTGACGGCTGATTTCCGTAGCAAATAGGGACGGATAATTGCGTCGCTAATCTGCGGTGCTTACATTTTTATACAGACGGACAATTCCGTCGCTGATGTTCAATTTGTCAAAAAAAAAAAAACCATCCAGACGTTTCCAAATTCCAATTCTCCCTAATTCTTGTTTCGTTCAAAGCTTTCAAAACACTCCAGCTTCACATAAAAAATTGCCAACAACCCATGAAAAACTTGTTTCACATAAATCCTTCTTTATACATCGAATACAATAATTGGGTACATAGCAAAATCACCAATACTAAACAACAATATTCCAAAGAAACACAACACCAAAACATAAATAAGAGATCTTGGTAGTGTAATCCTTGTGACTGTGAGCATTAAGATCTTTAGGAGTAAGAGATGGTGTCATCAGTATCCTCCATTGTATTGTGTACTTGTCCTCTTCACTTTTGCTTTCCTCAACTATAGTCTCGGCATTGTACCTGTTCACACATCAATAATATTTCAAATCATTGCACATCCGACCCAGATTTAGTATACTGTATTAGTTATACTCCTAACAAAGATAATTTCAACTTCAAAAAACTTAGTCATATAGTACAATCAATATGACTAAGTTCATCAACTAACATGTAAACCGTGCTACTATAACTGTGCCAAACTTCAATTTTCAGCAACTAACCTGCAAATCGAGCTATTATAATTGTGCCAAACTTCAATATTCAGCTGAGAAACTAAACTAAATGTTATACGTAGTATATATCTATGACTCGTCATAAATCAATAGTCTAAGGCCGTTGAACGGAATATACACTAAATCAAGATTCAATATTCAGCAAACACTTTGAGCTACTAAACTTCTTACCAACTATAACCGATTCAAAATATAAAGCACTATATGCAATCCATATAGGGAAACCCTACAAACCAAACATTAGCCATTATTCACCATCAAATTTTACTGGACTTTAGCAACCCATTGTTTCCCACTTGGGAACGACCACCATTCATCTGGTTAACATATATTGTGAGTTGTGACGAAAAATTTGAAAAAGGCAGAGGGGTGGAGCGGTCCAGTAAGGAGAAAGGTTCGACCATTCATCTAATTAATTACATGTTTTTAGTGAATGAAATGAAATTAACAGTACTACTAGTAGTTACACATTTGGAACCTGACAAATGGAGCTTTAATTTCCGGAGGTCGGGCGTTCGGCGTACTGTGGTCGGCGACTCGGCGGATCCAAGTCTGAGCGTTCTTTTACTTTTAGGATAAGAGTTGTGCGATTGGGGTGGTTTATTCTTGTTTATGAAGAAGAGATAAGGGTTGAACATCAATTACACTTACCGAGGGGGTAAGCTTCGACGGAATTGTTGCGGATAAGTGAGACGAATTTTTATTGCGACGGAGCAGGGACGGTTTACCGACGGAAATATTTTGGTAGAAATGTTCCAAAATACTGACGGTTTACCGACGGTCTGTTAATAACTCCGTCAGTGATTCCGTCGGCAATTTGCAACCGCATTTTCCGTTGCTAATTATCCGTAGCAAATTAGGTGTTTTTTTGTAGTGCATTTGCCCACCCCTAGTTTATACTTTGACTTGTATTAGAAAGGCCCAATAAATTCCATTGAACAAGGCCAGTACATACATATGACCAAGTCTATGCACAAGTCAGCTGGCAAGAGAAACACATTCATTGCATATTGGGGCATAGCTTGAATAACCGTTTTAAGAAGCACTTTCGGCCAGCCTTCTACAGAAATTACTATTCCAACTTTGAGTTCTCCGAATAACGCTCTCCTTTATGTACCCAAACTCTTCCTTCTTGTTTCGGCTTACAACCGAAGGCAGTCCAAGATACCCCCCCCCCCCCCCCTGAATGTCTTCCGAAACGCCAAGAATCCGACATTGATAGTCTATGTCATCCCAGGCTACATTTGCACTAAATCGGGCACTAGATTTATCAAAGTTCACAGTTTGTCCAAACATCAGGACATATTTGAAAAAGTATCTTTAACTACTAAGAAATCATTCTCCAGTGTCGTAAAAAGAGAAAACTATCATCAGCAAAGAGTAGGCGAGAGATACCTGAGGCACCCCTTATTATACGAATTCATGTCCTATTTGATCTCTCTCCCGATGGCGTATCAAAGCGCTTAAAGTTTCGGCAACTAGGATGAATAAATTAAATAAGGGCTGATCAGACCGCCTTAAAGTAATCCTCGAGTTGGAATGATGGGTCCCACTAATTCATTATTTGCTTGCACTGTATAAAACAACTAAGAGCCCATTCGGTAGCACGAAAATCGGCTTGTTTGGCTGATTCTGCTAAAATTTATGAAGTTCTGGCTGAAATGGATGCATTGGCTGATTCTGCTGTTTTAAGAAAAAATTATTTTTAAAATACATTTTATTAATAAAATAATTAAAAAATTATATGTAAAAATAGCTAAAATGGTCATCTACAGTAACTTCAGCCAATACAGCCAGAAAAGTAACTTCAACCTTATTTTTTCTGCTTATTAGACAATTCAGCCCGCGAAAGGAAAAGTTACGTGTTTGGTGAAAAAGTTGGCTGATAAGTCTGATAAGCCGAAAAACAGTGTTGCCAAACGGCCTCTAAGAATGGTAACACAATGAAGGATCAAACGAATCCAATGTGATTGAAAACCCAATTGTTCCATAATTTGTCTAAAAACGACCATTCCACTAGACCATATTCTTTACTCATATCCAACTTTAAGTCCACATAACCTCCTTTCCCTTGTGTCTTTCTCTTCATATAATACTGAATTTCAACGACTAGAATGATATGGTCCACTATTGATCTCCCCGAAATGAAAGCGCTTTGGTTTTCAGCAACAAATTCATTTAAAAGAAACTTCATCAAATTAGCTAGCATCTCAGCAAAGAATTTGTATGCCACATTGCAAAGAGCTATCATTCTTCAGTCTCCTATGGTCTTCAGATTTTCCTTCTTAGGTATTAAATCAATTGCGGTGTCATTGCACCCCTCTGAAATCTCCCCATTTTGAAAGGACATACAAAAATTATTGTCTCGGTGCTTTATCCGGATGCGTGTCAAAAGCTACCGCTTTAATTACCTCATATGTAGGAAAACTAGGAATAATGATATGTAGGTGGCTAAATATAGGGTGCTTGATAAAATTGTGGCCTCTTGTATAAAGTGACTATATTATTAAGTTGTAGTGATTATATATATTTATACATATACATATCATGATTATATTCATTTGTATACTGTGATGACCGTACAAGTGTGTTTATTGTAACTTTAATTTAGCCATATTTTGATGCATTAATTTTATTTGAGTAATATTGCAGAAAAAGACTGAAAACGTGTATTCTTAATTAATACTATAACAATTGAGTTCACATGAAAAGAAATTTAATTACTAGGTCTCTCACATTAAATTTAGAAGGTGAGAAAGTGACACACATTTAAGAAAAAATGAAAGGAAGTGTTTAATATTAATAAAGATGTTTTTACTTGGACTGTTTTCAATCTCACACCAGACCAGACTAAACCAGACCATACTAGACTTCCATAGTTATAAAACGCACAAAGACCGAACATTTAATTATCAGAGCAGATCACATCAACAAATTTCAGTGCAAGTTAAAACATCCTAAATTTGCAATAGATTGTTCATAATAATACGTAGTACTCCCTCCGTCCAAAAAAGATTGGCCAAATTGACTTTTCTTTGTCAATGGTGATCAACCTTGACCGATGATATCTTTTAATACTTCGTATAAAATTATTTAAAATATGAAGATTATATGAGCTTTTTTTTATTAAAAAATATTTTATAAAAGTATAAAATTTATAAATTACACACAAATATAATACAAAGTATCTAAAATCATTGTCTAAACTTTAACACCATTGACCAAGAAAAGTCAAATTGGCTCATCTTTTTTAGACGGCTAGTAGTATTTGCATCATAATATTGTCCTTAATAAAAGTGAAACTAGATTTTGATTTCTATTTCTTGCAGGGTTCATCATCAATAATGGCTAACCAACAAGAGGCAGCATGGCTGAAGTACACTACACCTTTCTGGCACGACCCTGACAACCCGGATCATCATGGGTAGTAGGACCAACTCCAAACACAGAGGGGAAAAAGGCCAGGTGACCATCAGGCCAGGAAAGAAAAAACATAGCTAGCTAGCTAAACCTTCAGTTCATTGTCATGCATATACTATCCTCCGTCTCTTTTTAATCGCAACATGTTGAATTTTACACTATTCACATATTCTACTTTGACTACATTTTATATTATTATTTTATGAAAATTATTATTTTTAAATTATATTGTTCAATTCATCTCATTACAAATTTTCAAAATCTAGTTTTTAAATATTTTTTACTAATAGGGATTAAGATATAATTACGGTCAAAGATGTGCGTTGGCAAGTGTGAAATGTTGACCGTTGCAACTAAAAAAGAACGGAGGAAGTATATAGCTAGAAATCGATCGATCTTGTTCTTTTAATTAATATCGATCCCTAGCTAGCTATACTTACATACATACATACATACATACGGAGTAATATCGATCTAGGACTAGCCCCCCTTTCCCTTACAACAATGCTTGATGTACTCACTCTTATACCCACCTTCTACCCACCATATTTGTGAAATGTTTTTGTTTGTCTGTGAACTCGGTTCACAGACGAAATATTTTGCTTATACAAAATATTGTCTGAAACTGACATTCACAGATAATTTTTTTTTTCCACAAATACAGGTGGGTACGACAAAAATGGGTACGAACATCATTTTTGTTCCCATTAGTCCTTTTAATTTCCTCAACTGAACTAACTGTTCAACGACACATGTTTCTAGAAAAAATCAAGATAAAAAAGGTCTATCTAACGAATAAAGAACAGTACGTATGTAAGAAAAAAAAGCCATATACAGATCAGCTAGCTAGAAAAGCAGCTGCTAGCTATATGTATATACTCGTATATGTATATATATTCTCACAGAAAACATGGTGTGGGCGGTAGGAACCGAAGGAAGACCCAAAAGCTAATTAAGGGATGAAGAGGCCGGGAAGAGAATCCAATACTGCATGGCATCAGCTTTGCATGAAAATCATAACCACTAGCTATGATTGATGATTACTCTGTCATCTAGCTTTATGGCCGGCCAGATCAGAAACGACTTTACCCTAGCTAGCTAGTTTATTTCTTTACTTACTATTTCATCTATATTTGTATTATTTTACTTTATTTTCAATTTTACTTTAACACAACAGGATTTCTTCAAAGTGCATAGGAAACTTCGTTTTGTTGGACCGTACCGCACATGGACAGTCATCACTTCCATGCATCGATCTTCTTTTTTTATTCTTCTTTTGTGAAGAGTTAGTTAGAATAGTACTACTTGTATGTGATAAAGTCTATACATATACATACGGAGTATATTTAGGTACGTATGGAATATATCTCCCCTTTATAGAAATGAAATGTACGTATTGGTGATTTACAACACCTTACATTGTGATCTCAGATGCCTTAGCTACCTCCATACATTACTTTTGAGCGTTTGTACTCGTACAAATTAAACATTTCAGTGATAGAAGCGAAAAGTTCCGCTAATGGTTAAGGAATTTGTAAATTAGTCTCAAATTTAAACCCATATCTTCTTAGCCTTAATTATAATTAGCTCATGTTTAGATTTTCAAAAAACTACATTCTATAATTAAATTAAACCACTCCTTACTGAGTTACTGCCATTTATCATTTATGTCTTTTTTACATGGTGTGTTGTCGTGCTTTAATTTGACTCAGGCACTGATCATATCGAGCTCTTTATTTATAGATTTTTAACGTCCAAGAATCATGGTTTGTATTATTGTGTTTCATTATTACTCCGTATATCTTTTTGGGATTTTATATTACTACTATTATAAAGTGGAAGTTGTGAGAAATAATTGAAGGCTTGCCACATTGGGAGTGTCAATCTATACCGTACAACCGGCTATATGGTGAACACTATACAATTGGTGGCATTCTGATAATTAAAAAGAAATCCGCTCTTCAGCTAAATGAGCATTGATGCATTTCTAGTGAGCATCATACATATTCTATTAAATATTAGAAACCTAACAATGAGCAACATGATCTCTATTTCATTTTTTCAAATTCACTTTTTTCTCTTATTTTTTAAAATATCTACAATGAATTCGTATGAGTCCAATATGTGATCTAACGTAATATTAAACTTTTGAAATATGCATAGATATGATATTTTAAAATGAGCATTACACTAATATCTGATTACCATACATAACTTATGAAATGAACATCAAAAAATTCAAAAAACTCATTTTAAATCTCCGGTATGCTCAAATTTTTATTTGTGTATGCTCATTTGAATATTCTAATGTGCTCAATATTCATTTATGTATATTTAATCACTACTACAGAACTGACATTTCACGTCGGTTATTTTATACTTTTCACGTCGGTTTTCAAAGAGACGTGTAAGTAAGAGACGTAAAAAGTAAGAACATTTAACGTCGGTTAGAAAACCGACGTAAAAAGTAGGCTTTGAAAATTAAATTTAACCTACCACGTCAGTTACGTTAAAAAACCGACGTCAAATATATTTTCTAAAAAATAAAAAATTATGTATAACGTCGGTTGTCTCAAAAAACCGACGTTGAAAATAGTATCAATAAATAAAAAAAAAATACATGTTACGTCAGTTGTCAAATAAAACCGACGTTGTAGGCAGTTATTTATTTAAAAAAAAAAATGCATAGAAACTACCAGTGTTGGTGTTATACAACTACCAGCTACATGCTTCTATCAGTCGGTTAATTCCTATAACCACCACCAGTGTATAAATTTAGAGTATCAGATACACATTACGGAACTATATACAAAAAACTTAAAGAGAAACTAAAGACTAGCAAATAAATCTCATCAATATCCCTACGCAAAGGACAATTCATACTGAATGCAATTCAATGGTTCCCTTCTTAGAGACTTGCTGTCTTGCTGAAAGCTCTTCTTATTTATCTGCAAAAAAATGCTCTTGTTAAAGCCTGCAAACAACGAAAATATAAGTGTTAGAAAAAACAGAAAACCGTACAACCATACACCTTTCATACTGAATACAATTCAATGGTTCTCTTCTTAGAGACTTGCTGAAAGCTCTTCTTATTTATCTGCAAAAAAATGCTCTTGTTAAAGCCTGCAAACAAAGAAAATGTAAGTGTTAGAAAAAACATAAAATCGTACACAACCATACACCTTTCTTCGAATAATATCATCATGACCTCTTCTTATAACTCGAAGGCTGAAATGAAATACACAAAACACTTCCATTGAAATCAACTAAATCAATAAAACAAGTAGCTAGCCTCAAACTGAGCAGTTCTTTGAGGATAGATCAAAGATAGATGCAGTACACGGTAAACAAAGTAGAGCACACCAGTTATTGATTTAATAATAATCATAGAATAAGATGAATTATCAAATGGAGTATAACATTCCATTAAAAGAAAAAAAATCTGGAAACAATTCAATACTTTACCATTTGTAATATTATAGAGCCTCTTCATTATCCATCTCAATTGCTTCCATGAAAAAATATGCAGAAAGATTTCCTGACAATCAGTAGATAGACCCAGACATTTCCCTTTTGAGAGCAAGATTGAACTCATAGAAAAAGAAAAATGATCATTGTGCAAAAACCCCTAAATCAATCAAACAAAAATTGAATGAATCATATTCACGCTTACTGGAACATCAATCAATAGAAGCTATTATATTTCTAGAGTCTTGACTTATATATGAAATAGTATAAAACGATATCCTGGTGTATAGGATTAAATATCATATAATAACCAAAAGTTCAGAGGAATTACTTCTTTGTGGCAGCATATATAGACAGTGAACTATCAAAATTCCATCAAATGACTGATCTGTAAAACAATATCTAACAAAACCAAGATTAAACAATAAATATGACTTAGAATTATGAAATAATCTGAGTTTTTCATCGATTAATAAACAAATGAAAGAAAAAAATATCACAGAATAAACTAACCTCACCCTATGCTAGTACTCATGTGTCTCTCCAAAGCTCCCCCTTTTAGTCAAAATAGATGCCTCACACCTGACAAGCCACCACCTTTAAGGGCAAATAATTAAGTTAGAATTCACATCAGGAATAGATGAATTGCATATTGAAATTCAGAAATCCTATAGATATTTTTATTGCTAAATCAGTCCTCGGCTATACATCACCCCAAATAGATACAATATCCAATCTCACGGCTGTACCACATATTTTATTACAACAGGTTTTGAATTGTCAAAATTTAAAAGCTCTCCAAGACTTCCAATAAACAATATTGAAATAACAACACAAAGGTTTTTCAGTCTTTTATCAAAAGCAAACATAGAGGACAACATATCTCTGCCATTAAGAAAGAGCATGATACCTGATCTCTGAACCAGAACAGATTGAACAGGCTTCTGTCAAATTCTATCAAAACCTGATTTTTTAGGAGACTTCTAAATTGCAAACTGCAGCATATAACAGTTTTAGTATACACTTGTTTACTAACTCACTAGTTACTGCATTATAATGCAAAATTCCAAAAGTCCACTGGTTACTATAGTCTATAAGTATGGACTCCCCAAAGCAACTAACATATGGAGTATTTATAAATTATAGATTCAAAGTATGTTTAATCAAATTTGATCAATAAAAAAAGCAAATACAATTATACGACAGAAATAAAAACTTAAAATTTGTATATTGTAAATTCAAAAGTCGAAACCTGATAGAGGACAAACTGATGACGATTGATGATTGAAGGCACTGGATAAGCTGAGAGAGGTATATGTCTACTAAAAGCCTAAAAGCCTAAAACCCAAAGTTAAAATGTATTATGAGACCTAAAGCGCGATAGGGAACTATTTCCTAATACTCAGAAACACACAGAGTAATTTTAAAACTCTAAAACTTCATAATAATAATTTAAGGAGTATATTATTTGAGTTTTTGATTCAGCTTACATCTCTTTAAGCCCCAGTCTCACTATATTCAAGGAGACTGCAGATTGAATTCCAATCCATACAACTACGAGAGCAACTACTTCCCACCAGATCAAATCCTAGCCTGGTACACTTTCAAAAAACATATAAAGTATTTATATGATTGGATAAGAACAATGTTTTTTTTTCAATTGAGTCTCATTAAGCACATAAATACATCATTAAAAGAAACACATTACCAAATGATGCTACTGCGATGATAACATATAAAAGAAAATATTATCAAACCTCATGAATTGCTTCAATTCCTTCCGAATAATTAATAACCAAATAACCTGAAATTATCAATCATTAGTTTAATAAGAGCAAGTTGGAAAAAAATAATCTAAAAGAAAACCTTTTCTCTAAAGTTAGAGAATTGTAGGATGACAAAAATCAATTACGTACATAAGTATTATTTCACACTATAACTCACTTTAGGCGCTTGTAACAGGGTAATCGAGAGAAGCAATGGACTTGCTTAAAGAACAAAATGATCCCAAAAGAACTAATTTTAAAGAGTGCTAAAGAGGAATCAAGTAATAAAACACAATAATCTCTTCAATAGTAACAATTTCAAATTGAAAGTACTAATAAGAAATCCTAACTTGAGAAAAAATTGATTATTTTCCAAACTAATTATAGGAGAAAGTTCAGTAGATGAAACCTGCTGCGGAGATTTCTTCCACAACGGTAATCACAGGTCAGGAAGAGAGACGAAGACAGGTTGGGATTTAGGGTCTCCGCTGCAAATTAAAACGAACAAATTAGCTTCTTCGACAAGAATCGCAGTACAAGGGAAAGAGATGGAAAAATAATGAAGTCGCCGCTGCAAATGAAAGGAAGGGGATGGAACCCGTCTTTATTGGAGTTCATACGTGTTATTTATTTTTAATAATTATTCTTTTATATTATTTAATAGTTAGGTGGCTTATGTCACATCACCTTCTCATTCTCGTAGTAATAACACTGCATGTGCCATGCAATAGGGAATTCTCTTTCTACTTTGTACTATATATATATGTGCATACGCACATGGAGTATCGCATTATTAAGAAAGAAGTATTACTCCGATATGTTCTGTGAACTCTCAAAATAACAATAAGTCTTATTTCATATATCATTTTATCATAGTATCAGAGCCAAAAGCCTGGAAACCACATCTTCATCAATTTCTTTCTTGAGAGTTTCATTTAGTAAAAAAAAGGAGAGAAAGAAACAAAGCTTTAAACCATGGCTATTGACGATGAAGTGAGTAGTATTAGCCGAGAACCTGTTGGCATAGTTATAGATGCCATGTCTCCATATTTTATTCAATCCGGAGATAAACCCGGAGACGTCTATGTTACAACTCTTCTTCGCGACGGAAATTATGGAGATTGGCTCGATGAAATGAGCAATGCTCTCTATGCAAAGAATAAGATTGGATTCGTCAACGGTGATATTCCGATGCCTAAGAAGGAATCGCCGTACCTTCCATATTGGCAAAGAGCAAACGCGATGGTTAAAGCTTGGTTGAATAGTAGTATGGAGATTGAATTAAGACAAAGTGTCAAGTTC